AAGCAAGGGAATTGGATGGCAGAAGGGGGGGGGGTTTTATCAGCGGGGTTACAGAAAACAGCGGGGCAGGGGATAGTACGGGGGTAGAGGGTAGCAAGAGATACAAGTAGAAAGGGCTGAAAGTATCAAAATTTGTGGAGTAAGTCAGTCGTTGTCAAAAAGTCAATGAGAGAGTCCGGATGAAAGGTGAAATGGGACTCCACTGTTAGCTTTTCAGGATTAATTTTATCGTAGAGCTTGAGGACCAGCAAAACTCTCTGCTGGATCATGTCGAGCGTCAGAGGTTCCTTGACACTGTAGTTACGAATGCTTCCCTTTGTCTGCTGCAGGAGGCTCCTGTCGCAGGTGCTGGGCTCCCTGACGGCGAGTGTGTGCAGGCAGCTCACTCTGCAGGCTCGAGGAACACCAGCACGCAACACTGAGGGCATCACCAGGGTAGCAAGGCGCAGAGATCGTGGTATTAAGGCCATCTTTGTAGAGGTCAAGCCGTGATGTCTGCTGCCTTGCTGCTGCCCTAGGTCCTTTGAAATACATTGAATTTTTGTAAAGGTTTAGTCAAACATGGGGAATGTCATAGAGATGTTTGTGTCTGGTGTTATGCCTGTGGATCCTGTCACAACTATCAAGAAAGCGTTTTAGGTCAAGGTTAATATTGGAATTTAAGGTCCTGTAGATATAGATTGCACAGTAGTTATTATTATTACATTATTACAATCAAGGGGGAAGCGCTAAACCCGGAGGATTATACAGCGCCTGGGGGGGGATGTGGAAGGCATTCAGGCTTAATTTGGGGATTATTATTATTATAATCAAGGGGGAAGCGCTAAACCCAGAGGATTATACAGCGCCTGGGGGGGGGGATGTGGAAGGCATTCAGGTTTAAATTTTCGGGAACTGGAGCACAGAGCAATTTCCCTAAATTCAAAAGGCCCCCCAAACCCAAAATCAAGGAACCTTCCTTGAGGGGAAATTTCACAGTAGAAAGAGTGAATTTTTTTAACAGGGAGTAAAGTTTAGATCTAAAAGATGGGGGGGAAAGGTTGTTCCCAACGGAGGGAAATTTAGGGGGGGAAATTTTAAATTCTTATTTGAAAGTTTTTTGGGTTGGGTTTTTAAAGGGCCCTTTATGATTTTGTTTTGCAGTTGAACCCCAAGCACAATACATGGGGTGGGGTTTGGGGGATATAAAAGTGAAGGGGTTTTAGTGTGAGAAGGTCATTTTTGTGGTACATATATCGTATCTTGGAGGGGATCCTCCCTTTTTTGGATATTTTTTTTTTGGGGCCTTTTTTAAAAAATTTAATTTTATTTCATTCATATCTGTATAGGGTTTCAGCTAAATTTGCCAATTGTTTGTTATTCATATTGCTATAAAGTTAACTGTTTTCTCTTATGTAGCCCTGAAGGTTACTTTAGAAATTTCTTGTGGGTTTTGCCCAGACAAAGTTTTTGGGGAAAAGTTGGGTAGTGGCCCCGTGTGTTGCCCCTGGGGATTATGCCTTTGTTAAAAGGAAAAAGGGATAAAAAGAGTGCAAAAATTATGGGGGGATAAGTCTTTGAGTTACCTGGTAAAGTGTATGGTAAAAAGTTTAAATTTAAAAAGAATTAAGAGAAAGCGGGGAATAGGAAGAGATGAACAAGGGGGCTTTAGGAAGGTAGGGGGGTGTGGACCGGGTTTTCTAAAAAACCCATATAAGTAAAAACAGTATTAGTAAGGTTTAAAGAGGTCTTTGTGGCATTTATGGATTTGGAAAAGGCATATGACAGGGTGGATAGGGGGGCCAATGTGGCAGATGTTGCAAGTGTATGGTGTAGGAGGTGGGTTTAAATGAAGCAGTGAAGAGTTTTTACGAGGATAGTGAGGCTCAAGTTAGAGTATTGTAGGAAAGAGGGAATTTTTTCCCAGTAAAGTAGGCCTTAGACAAGGATGTGTGATGTCACCGTGGTTGTTTAATATATTTATAGAGGGGGTTTTAAGAGAAGTAAATGCGAGGGTCTTGGCAAGAGGCGTGGAGTTAAAAGATAAAGAATCACACACAAAGTGGGAGTTGTCACAGCTGCTCTTTTGCGGGATGACACTGTGCTCTTGGGAGATTCTGAAGAGAAGTTGCAGAGATTGGTGGATGAATTTGGTAGGGTGTGCAAAAGAAGAAAATTAAAGGTGAATACAGGAAAGAGTAAGGTTATGAGGATAACAAAAAGATTGGGGTGATGAAAGATTGAATATCAGATTGGAGGGAGAGAGTATGGAGGGGTGAACGTATTCAGATATTTGGGAGTGGACGTGTCAGCGGATGGGTTATGAAAGATGAGGTGAATCATAGAATTGATGAGGGAAAAAGAGTGAGTGGTGCACTTAGGAGTCTGTGGAGACAAAGAACTTTGTCCTTGGAGGCAAAGAGGGGAATGTATGAGAGTTAGTTTTACCAACGCTCTTATATGGGTGTGAAGCGTGGGTGATGAATGTTGCGCGAGGAGAAGGCTGGAGGCAGTGGAGATGTCATGTCTGAGGGCAATGTGTGGTGTGAATATAATGCAGAGAATTCATAGTTTGGAAGTTAGGAGGAGGTGCGGGATTACCAAAACTGTTGTCCAGAGGGCTGAGGAAGGGTTGTTGAGGTGGTTCGGACATGTAGAGAGAATGGAGCGAAACAGAATGACTTCAAGAGTGTATCAGTCTGTAGTGGAAGGAAGGCGGGGTAGGGGTCGCCCTAGGAAGGGTTGGAGGGAGGGGGTAAAGGAGGTTTTGTGTGCGAGGGGCTTGGACTTCCAGCAGGCATGCGTGAGCGTGTTTGATAGGAGTGAATGGAGACAAATGGTTTTTAATACTTGACGTGCTGTTGGAGTGTGAGCAAGGTAACATTTATGAAGGGATTCAGGGAAACCGGCAGGCCGGACTTGAGTCCTGGAGATGGGAAGTACAGTGCCTGCACTCTGAAGGAGGGGTGTTAATGTTGCAGTTTAAAAACTGTAGTGTAAAGCACCCTTCTGGCAAGACAGTGATGGAGTGAATGATGGTGAAAGTTTTTCTTTTTCGGGCCACCCTGCCTTGGTGGGAATCGGCCGGTGTGATAATAAAAAAAAAAAAAAATGGTGTTTCTCCAGATGTGGTCTAATTATTAAGGAGATGCTTGTCTCGGAGATTCTTGTAGGTTTAGATATTGCTGGTATGCCGTAGCATAAGGAAGATCCTCTGCTTCTTTGAGGCAACGGATTTCATGCTCATTTAAGTAATCCTGGCAACTGCAAGAGTACGAAGGGCGAGCCTCACGATAATTAAGGCAAGAGGGAGGTCGACTGCAAGATGTATTAGAATGATCATCGGCACCACATTATTATAATAATAATCAAAGGGGAAGTGCTAAACCCGGAGGATTATACAGCGCCTGGGGGGGGGGGATGTGGAAGGCATTCAGGCTTAATTTGGGGAACTGGAGCACAGATCCCTATTCCTAAATCAAGAGCCCTTCAACACACCATACTTACGGAACCTTCCTTGAGAGGGATCCGCACCACAGACTGGGCATTCGGCTATAGATCTGCAATATTTCGCTGGGTGACCAAATCGCCAGCAATTTCTACACTGTTGTGGTGTAGAGGATCACCTTTTCGAAACCTTGTAACCAATGTCCTGCGACATAAACAGAGGACTGGAGTTCACGGCCGTCACAAGTTAATCGAGCCACATTGCAAGGGTATCATCTCTGCCCTAGTGGGCAGGAGGACATAAGTGGTGTTACTTTGAGGATTGGGAGATCTAGAGTTCCAGCTGTCAAGAATGCCATTGCAACATGTCTGGAAATTCGATTGGGACTATGGTTTGGAGCAGAATGACAGTACCACTACAAGAATTCGAGGAGAATGATGTTTGTTCGATAGTGATAGGAATAGTATCGATTGTGAAAGAGGAAAGATCTGAGCCTTGGGTAGAATGTCTGGACTGTGATGATGTGCATACCACTCTTAAGAGCATGAAAGGAAATATCTCTACCAATGTGGCGTAGGATGCGCTTTGCCAATACTATGGTCAGAAAAATAGCAGTAGATAGATGAAGGTCAGTTGGTAAAGTATTAAGTCCATTGTGTGGTCTGAAACCGAGTGTGGAGAGGGAGTGCATGATGTGTCAGTCTTTTCCGAGTAGAATGGGAAGGTAACAAGGTAACGTTGGCGTTTAGAAGTGGGACCAGAGTTGGTCCGACGTGAGACGGGCTAGTGATTCGAAAATCGTCCCACCGTAGAGGGAGAGGCCGGAAGCATAGTCAAAGGAGAGCGGAGGTCAGACAAATCGGAGTCAGTGGAAGGCCTGGTACCTGAAGCGGGTGAGGAAACAGCACCAGCAAGAGGTACAGGGGCCTTAGGAGTGTCCAAATTATTATTATAATCAAAACAGAAGCGCTAAGCCACAAGGACTATACAGCGCTGCAGGGCAGGAAGGAAGCGAGGGCATCAGGTGGCAAAAGGGAGATGGATGAGTAATAGGTTACGGATAACAGCGGGGCAGTGGATGGTGAAAGGGTAAAGGGCAGCAAGAGACTGAACTAGAAAGGGCTGAGGGGAGTGCGAAAAGTAATTAGAGTTTGTGGAGGTAAATCAGTCGTTGTCAAGAAGTCAATGAGGAGTCAGGATTAAGGAGGGTCCCAATCAGCAAGAAGGGGAAGGTAAGAGAGAGTAGTAGAACGAAAAAGTACGACATTGAGGTAAATTTTGCGTGCTCGTGATAGAGAGGGCAGTCTAACTGGAATGTGGCTAATCGATATGGAAACTTGACAATGCTCACAGAGGAGGAACGGGTGCCTCTCCATGAGATACCTATGAGTAAGACGAGTGTGGGCCAATGCGAAGGCTTGGGAGAGAGTGGTCTCCACCTCGGCACTGATGCAGAAGAGGCCAGTATCCTCATGCTCGGTTTAATAGATGAATGAAAGTTTGTTACGAGCAGAGTTGACCAACGTTGTTGCAAGGGGTGCCGAAGGTGGGTAGCTATTGCAGCAAAATAGTCCAGAAAAAGGAAACCCCCACATCGAATAGGAAAATTGATAGGTCAGGTACTGCTGACCGCGCAGCAGTTATGCCTGTCATTGCCTGTTACGCGGACATGACAGGGACCCAACAAAAAAACAATTATCTTTATGTCTGGTGGTAGAGATCGGCGTAAGCCAAAGTTGGAATACGGAGAAGAACTAGGGGAATGAGAAGTATCAAATTTTCGTATAGCTGTTGAGCACTAAGGGAGTCTGATGACTACTACAAATGATGACACAGGCATAGATGCGATACGAATAAGTGCTGCAAGAATCGGCATACCGTTCAGCAGTAAAAATGCTAGCCTGAAGGATAGTAAATGCCCCCGCACGACGCTTTCCTGTCCGGAAACACTGCTGCGGAATCCGACGACGTCTGAAGGACCTTAGAGCATCTGTGTACAACCAGCCCGTGGCATGACAATGTGAGTGGGAAGTGATCAAGAAAAAGAGAGTGGGAAAGCCATCGTAGGCAAGTTGAGCTTTCGAGCAAGGAGTGAGGAAAGAACAG